AGTTGCTGCAGGTCAGTACTCATCTTTTTTTATAGAGCAGCAGCCTTCAAATGTTTTGTGGTTCTGATACTTCCTAAAAAGATTTTAAAAAGCTGTAATCTCATCGCACATTTTAAAGCTGACATCTAAAATTTTTCCATCCTAAGTTTAAATAGCTGCAAAAGATATAATTTTTAGCACATTGTAAAATATCAACATTTTATAATAAAACTGTTAAATCTCTCTTTTAAATGTATCCATGGAATCTAAATACCATAGTAATTTAATAATCATCATAAAAAACCACCTCTCTTTAAATGTCATGAATTAAATATCATTTCCCTTTCTCCCTAAATTCCTATTTCTAGTTGACGTTCCTCAGAGAATTCTACCTTTATCATATTTTTATGCATGCAGATCTTTTATTTAGTACCCTCTCATATTTATCTGCAACAAAAATAAGAATGAAAATTTAAATGTAATTATTTTTATTTATTGAGATCATAGACTCTATTAACAATTTAACTTTTCTGGATTGAGTAATTAGTATATATACTATTAGTACACAATTGGACCAAATAATACTTTTCAAGTTTTCATTAAAAAAAAAAAAAAAATTAAATTTCAAAAGTAAAAATCTATTGGAAATGCATCTATTTTTTTTTTTGGCATGCAGTTTTTAAATTTGGAAGGAGGCAAAAATGTTACACTTAATGGAAGGCAGAGGTCATGTTAATAAATGCTCATTACAAAGTTGTTCTGACACTGAAGGGAGGGACTTCTCCTGGGCTCCCCACCTACATACCAAATCAGAGTCGGTAGTAAGTACAAATCTGAAGAAAATCCATGTGTCCAACAAGCTGCCATCTCAAGAGCTTTTATCCAGGAGAAATCAGAAAATGAACATTCTTCTTGTCTTCTACTCCTCAGTTGAGTAAATGGGAATGTTTCAGCCAATGAAGTTCATGTCAACAAGGTGCAAGACGGTGCTGGTACAGAGAAAATCAGCAAAGGCTGGCTCCAGTGAGATGCTTTGGAAATCTGCTTTGTTCTGTGGGTTGATCTGTATTCTCAGACAAACTGACAGGATGAAGCTTCCTACACAAGAGGTGAAGCCTAAGAAGAAAGAGTTGAAGGGGAAAGTCCACACGAGGAGACAGAATCAAATTGCAGCATCCAGGTCCAGGTGAGCACTATATACAGGCGGTAGGTGTCCAGCAACTTCAGACACTGCTGGAGTGGAGCTCAAGTATTCCAAGAACCGTGAGATCATGGACACTACCGACAAGGACATGACTATCCACTCAGTTCCTGGAAATGCATTTTTTAATGAGCTATATAATGTTTCTTTCATGTATCTACGGAAAAATAATATTTAATGGTAGAAAAAGTAGATGGGAATGAAAGGAGTTTTCCTTTGAAAATCCAAGATATAGGTCAAAAATCACATTGTGACCAATCATTGAAAGCAATTTGCAGTGCAATTAGGTCTTCCTTCAATTTTGTTGAAACCAAAAGATTGAAAATGACTAGACATGCCAAAATATTTGTAACTAGTTGTTAGAGTCACTTACTGTCTCAACACCTAACAGTTGCCAAATTTTAAAAATTGACCCATGGATTTTACAAATGTGGAAGTGCACCATACTAAGATTGGATGTTGGTAAAGTGTGCCTTTCTTCTACAATAAGTAAAGCAGATCAATTTTGGAAAATCTAGAATGGAAACCAGTCTCCTAAAACTACGTATGCCCCACACCCCCTGGAAAATTGTCATGTACTCCAGGCGTATCCACACCCAACAAGAATAAAGAAAGAAGCTCCTGAAAACCCTAAGAACTTACTGCTCCTGTGATAAGCACCTCTCTAGCTAAAGCCTAGTTCAGTCAGGATCTGTGATTATCTATATTAAAAAAAAAAAAAAATCTCAGGAGACTGATAATGATTCAATTTGGGAAACCATTGAGATAAAGGAAAAACAAAGTGCTTTAGAGTCAGGCAGGCACTGAGTTCCCATCTTACTCCTACCACTTACTAGCTATGTGACCCTAGGCAAATCAACTAACTTCTCCAGTCTCAGCCTTCTCAATGATAATATTAGTAACCTGCCTCTCACGTAGGCATTGTTGGATTAAATTGTATATGTAAATCACTTAGCACAGCGGCTAAGTACATGGGAGTTCTTCAATAAATAACAGCTGTAGTCTTGTCATCATTATCATTTCATTGCCTAGAGTTGCTCCTTGGAAGTTGCCACTACATAGCACTATAGTGTCATGGGGAACAAGTAGGTTTTAGGGAGCCAACTCTTTTACTTTATAAATAATTGTGGGGCGAAATCAGAATGGTTGGATGAGTACGAGAGAATTTCATAAGAAAGCAACACTTTAGCAATTATCAATACTTTTTTCCCTCAACGGGAAACTTAGAAGTAATGAGAAACCAAAAATTCAGACATAAAAAGCCAAAAAACATTTAAATAATCTCATCTATTAGACATATGTCAGGCCATCATATAATTTCAGCAACTTGATCCCATTTAGGAGATTTAATGACCTTACATAAAAAGTCATATGAAAATTAAATTCAATAAAAATTAATGTATACGCATAGCTACCTAACTTAATGAGAAAAATTAGGTTTAGCTGTAAAGGTCTCCAATTTTGATTTAAAGTATATGTGGCTGCTGCTGGAAAACAGAGAAGATGTAAAAACCTCTTGATCTTCAGAAGAGGTAGGTATTTAAATTTAGCAACTAAATGAGAGCTAAGGGAAATACATTTCTTTAATTATAATCTCATCAAAAGTATGTAAATCAAATGACAGTGATACATGGAGGATTTAAATCTTTAAATGCCAAAATACAGGATTAATACATAGAATCACAAAATTATTCAGTAATAATTTGTGTGAAGATGATATCCACTAGCGATCAAACAATAGCTATGCAGAACTTTTTGAAGGGAAATGTAAAATCTGTCATTTATTATTAATACAAGGATATCGAATATCCAGATGATAATGCAAAGTAATCCCCTAAAGATATAAATTTCAATTAGATTAGAAATGTTTAACTGTCATTTAATTAGAAACTAAACAGCCTTTGATTTAGAAGAGAAACTGAAGACTGACATGGTAGTGATGGCTTCAGAGAAGGGCATGTCCATGACACGGTCTATCAATGGTTTAAGATTATAAATCAAAATGGAAATCTCTAGCTTATCGGCTAAATTTTAGCTAGTCTAAGATATAAAATAAAGAGTGAATGACTTTCAAATTTATTCTGTCATGCTATAAGCCAGAGTAAATTCAAATGCTTTATTAGTTTGTACTTCTGCCAGTTACTTTAAGGTATTATCGCAATATACCCTCATGGAGACTAACTCATTAAACAAAAGCCCTGAGAAGTCCCTAAAAAATTTCCCAAACTTTTACAGTAGAAGAACTCTATTAAAACTTCTTTATTCAGTAGATTTAGTTGAAATAATATCCCTAGAAATATAAAGACCACATACAGTGATATGGGTATTAGATTATAATGCAGGTATTAGTATAGACCCTAAAACAAACTTCATAAAAGTATTTTATTGCTATTAAAACTATATAAAAAACAAAGGCTCATTTCTTTTTCAAACTTCAGCTTATGGAAATTCAAAGTTGTAATAAAAAGGAAAAAGACTATAAATTGGAATAAAGCCTGCTTAACACAGTGACAAGGGAGCTGATAACTTGGCAATCTCCAAAACGAAATAGAATCTATGTGTATAATAGTGAGGAATGGAAAAAGAGAATGGATAGGGCAAGACGATGCAAGTACAGGGAGAGAAGGCAACTGACCTCTAAAAGTTCTTGTGAGCCTATATATATATTGAGATAAATTAAATTTGCAAGGACTTCTGGGAAGGCAGTGAGGTTAAAGTGCCAGGAATGTGGTCTACTATTATACTCAGCATTGTATTTCTAAAAAATCAGTAGATTCCAGAACACATTCCCTCTCCATTAATAGATTCACTGTGATTCTGATCTATTTGTTAGATTCACTTACTTAAATTTAATTTGTTTGATGTTCAATTGGTAAAATCTAATGAATTTTCGTCCTTTTAAAATAAAGCAAAATTTAAAACAAATACCACTTGATATCTGTTTATGGAAATTGCAAAAGTATAAACTACAATTTAATATAATACTTTACAAGGGCACATTACAAGCTGTGAAATGGCGGTAAGTATTTGAGACACTGCAGTTAAAGGCAGAACATGAGGTTCAAGCTGGGGAACAGAGGGAAATAGAATTCAAGAATTGAGAAGAGCAATGAAGAGCCACTGAAAGATTTTAAGCAGGTTTTATTTTTTAAAAGATAATTCTGGCCAACTTTAGTCAATAAATGGTCATCAGCATTTGTTGAAGAAGCTATTATGATGCTAATGATTGTTAGCAGCAACATATGCGTTAATGTGCATGTTTTCTGTTGTTGTTCTTGCTCTTCCGGTTCCCTGCTAAGTAAGGATTAGTTAACACTTGCATTTGCAAGATGGGTGGTCATTATTTGGGATCCTGTCTGCCTGTGAACGGAAGAAAAAGAGACCAGGCATACAGATGGTATTGATCGACACACTTTGTTCTTTCAGTACTAACCTCTAACTAGCGGGGGCGGGGGGAAGGAAAGAAAAGCTTCATAAATATAGACTTAGATGCAGGCAGGGATTTCCCTCCTTATCTATACAAATTTCAGAATCCATTGTTCTACTATTAGCCCCACTTTAGAATTGATGATTTCAGTATTATAGAGACAAGAACACTGAAAAATCATTAGGGGTGGAGGAGACTTGTTTGATCTAGAGTGATTTTTCCCACTTAGAACATTTTACCAAACAGTGATTTAATGCTGATAAACGGGTTTGCTCATCAATGTGTACAGGCATGAAATCACTCAGAAGTTTTGATTTAAAAACAGCCAATAAGAAAGGTCTGATTGTATTGAAGTACTGAATAGAATTGATTCTCCATTACTTTTCTTGCTTCCAAAAGAGATGCATATTCCTCAGGAATGGGTGTACTGGTTAAATGGAAATGAAACGCCAAAAACAGGACCTGAACAAATCAGTGTTTTATTTTTACATCACTTCCCTGTTCTTCCTAAATGGCAGTCACTGCATTTTAGATACTGATAAACACAATATTCCTTTCACTACGTGTATAATATGCATTTTTTCATGTTTCCTCTTAACAGTAAATGACAAACTACTCAATCACTTGCATCAAAATATTAATTTCAGTAGCTAGCACCAAAATCAAAATTCGACAGTCAATTGAATGAGCATGTGTAACAAATATCCTCAAATTTACCCCCTTTAAGACATGCGAGTATGATATTTCCATATTCACAAACATCTGAATATTTTTTGGCATTGGACAATACACTACGAAAATTCAACACTTAAATCAGGTAGCATTTAAAACTGGTTGGGATCAAGGAATTCTTTCATTTAATGGCATCATCTTGTTGAAAGCTTTTCCCTTTTGGATGTTCTTCTTCTCCATCTCCCTTCCTGTAATCAGTGGTGTTGGCTTCCCAAAGCCAGCAGTCAGGTAGGTCCATGCCGTCATTCCTCTTCCCTGTGGACTGGCAAGCGCTCTGGAGGAAGAAGCGATTCCAATTTCTGCCAGCGCTCTGGAGGCCACAGGATATGTGTGGCATGGGCATGTAGAAGTCCCAGGGAAACCTGAATCCATAAGAGACACAAAGATAATAACAAAGAAATTGTTTTATAAAAATCATCATTACTGTTGTGCAAATATAAATTTGGTTCCAGGTTTGACATTTCACAGGTAAACCACATACAGCACTTTTCTAGGTGCTTCATACATGTTGTTGCTCTTAGGTGCCGACTCATAGTGACCCCATGTGACAGAGCAGAACTGCCCCCATAGGGTTTTCTAGGCTGTAATCTTTACAGGGACAGATCACCAGATCTCTGTCCCTCGGAGCCAATGGGTGGGTTCAAACTGCCAGCCTTTGGGTTAGCACAAGAGCACGTAACAATTTCACCACAGGGGCTCTTTTTTTATATATGTAAGCTCATTTCAAGGAGCCCTGGTGGTGCAGTGGTTAAGTGCTCAGCTGCTAAGCTAAAGGCGGTCGTTCCAGCCCACCAGCTGCTCCATGGAAGAAAGATGTGGCAATCTGCTTCCATAAAGACTACAGTCTTGGAAACCCTATGGGGCAGTTTTACCCTGTCCCATTGGGTCAGAATTGACTCAACAGCACACAATCACCACAACAAGCTCATTTAATCCTCACAAAACCCAGCTGAAGTAAGTACTACTATCTTCATTTTACAGATGAGAAAATTGGGGACCAGAGAGGCTCAGGGATTTGCCAAAAAGATAAACAGTAATACCTGTGAAAGCCGGAAACTGTGTAAGGCAGAAGCCTATCAGAGAAGGAAAATGCAAATATTTTCCACTAAAACGAGCAATAGAAAAGTGGTAAAACTGTACCCTGTCAAAGGCAGAAAACTTGTGAGACCCAGAGAAACAAGGCAGTTGAGTTCCGGCTCTCACAGTTTTCCCTGTACAACTACCAAGTAGTAGAAACTGGCTTCAGTGCTCAGCAGTCTGACTTCAGAGTCTGCATCCTTTACCACCCACTATGCATGAGAGCCTTTTTTGCATAGACTCAGGAAGTATGAGTCTAGTTTTCATTCTCAGAAATTCCTACAGAGTTGGTAATCGCGAGAAACTTTCATCTATGGAAAAGGCATAAAAATCTGGAGATATATTTTGCAAAATATTTTGTTCACCTACTAGATGAGCAGCAAGAGTTGGGTATGAGACTGGGTAGGTTGTTTCTGTGGAAAGTGGACTGAGCAACCCAGAACTAGCACCCATGAAGAGAGTTGGAAAGCCATGGGAAAGAGGAACAAGGTGGGATGGGAAGAGAAGGAAAAGAATAAAATATGAAGATCATGGCAGATGGCAAACAATCCCTGATGAGCAGAGATTAGCCAGGATAGAGAAGGACGCAAGGGGAAGGGAACTTTTCCTGGAGACCTTAAGGCTTAGCCCAGAGGCAAGAAGGGAGCCCTCAAAGGCTTTTTAGGTCAGTGTTTCTAAACATCAATGTACAGAAGATTGGGGCAGCCTTGTTTAAAATGCAGAGCAGGGCCTTATCCTCAAAGATTATCCTTCTCTAGGTCTGAGGTCCACCACCTCTCTGTTAGTTTGTTGTACTGTGGTGGCTTGCATGTTGCTGTGATGCTGGGAGCTATGCCACCAGTATTTTAAAAAGCAGCAGGGTCACCCATGGTGGGTGTCTTGGTTATCTAGTGCTGCTATAAGAGAAATACCACAAGCCAATGGCTTTAACAAAGAGACATTTATTCTCTCACAGTCTCGTAGGCTAGGAGTCCGAATTCAGGGTGCCAGCTCCACGGGAAGGCTTTCTCTCCCTGTCGGCTCTGGAGGACAGTCCTTGTCATCAATCTTCCCCTGGACTAGAAGCTTCTCTGAGCAGGAACCCCAGGTCCAGAGGATGTGGCCTGCTCCCAGCACTGCTTTCTTGGTGGTATGAAGTTCCCATGTCTCTCTGCTAGCTACTCTCTTTTATATCTCAAAAGAGATTGGCTCAAGACACAATCCAATCTTGTAGATTGAGTCCTGCCTCATTAAAATAATTGCTGCTAAAACCATCTCATCAACATCTGACACAGGATTTATAACACATAGGAACATCACATCCGATAACAAAATGGTGAATAACACACGATACTGGGAATCATGGCCTAGCCAAATTGATACACATATTTTTGGGGGACACAATTCAATCCATGACAGCAGGCATGTTTCAGTGGAGCTTCCAAACTAAGACAGACAAGGAAGAAAGGCCTATTTCCAACAATTAGCCGATGAAAACCCTATGGATCACAACAGAACCTTGTCTGACTTGTTTGTTTTATACACGTCATCAGAAGGGATAAATTGCTAGAGAAGGACATCTTGTTTGGTGAAGTAGAGGGCCAATGAGACCCTCAGTGAGATGGATTGGCACAATTGCTTCAGCTGTGGACTCGAACATGCTGGCAATTGTAAGGATGATGTAGGACCTGGTAATGTTTCACGCTGCTGAACGTAAGGTCACCATGAGTAGGAGTCAACTCCACAGCAGCTAACAACAATAGGTCTGAAATGGGGCCTGGAAATTTGTGTCTTTGTTGTTGTTGTCACTATCAGATACTATTTTAATGGTATTTGGAAGCTTACAAAACACACTCATATTTACACATATTTATTGACTGACAACTCTAAACCAGATTCATGTAAGTTATTTCATTTTATTTTCATGTTTTTCCTATAAATTGGAGCTCCCCAGAGATTAACACAAAAATATTGCTTTCATCAGTTCTTCTACTGACTAGCATCTACATTCAAAAATCACACTGCCCAGAGACTTAAAGCAAGGAGAACTGGAAATTATGGAAGAGATCACCAAAGAGATAACCAGAAATACATTGTAAAAAAAAAAAAGAAAATAAAACCTTGATAACAACTTGAAATGGAAGCAAATAAACACAAAGGGTAGCAAGAAACCCTTGGGCCCAATAAAGGATTTTTTCCTCCAACTTTGTATTTGAAAATCCAACCTAGAGAAAATTTCAAAGTATGGTACGAAATAAAAGCTCTATTCGCCAAAATTCACCAATTATATTAACGTTTTGCTGCATTCGTTTCTCTCTATGTGTGTGTATATACATATATGTGTACACATATACTTTTTTTCTGAACCATTTGCAAGTTGTTGACATCATGCTGATTTTACCCTTAAATACTTCAGCATGTATCTCCTTAGAACTAAGACCTTTTCCTACATAAACACAGTATCATTACCATTGCAAAGCATTTAATATTGATACAGTAATATTATTTAATATACAGTCCATATTGAAATTTACCCAATGTCCCAATGATGTCTTTTACAGCTTTTTTATTAAAATGCAGGACCTAACCAAGGATCACAAATTGCATTCGTTGGTTATTAGTTTGCTTAATTTTCATTCAGTTTACTCTAATCTGGAGTACAGGCCAGTTGTTTTATAAAATATCCTACATCTAGAATTTTCTGATTTTTCCCCCCTCATGAATATAGTTGATATTGTATTCTCTCCAATCCATCATACCAGGAGGCACAAAACATCAGTTTGTCCCATTATTGGTGATGCTAAGTTTGTTTGGTTAAGGTGATGTTGACCAGATTTCTGCTTTGTAAACACATCTTTTTACTTTTGTAATTAATAAGTAATTTGTGGGAGTGACATTTTGAAATAATATAAATATCCTGTGTCTTAGTCATCTGGTACTGCTATAACAGAAATACCATAAGTGGATAGCTTTAACCAAGAGAAGTTTATTCTCTCACAGTCCAGTAGGCTACAAGTACAAAATCAGGGCGTCAGCTCCAGGGGAACGCTTTCCCTGTCAGCTCTGGAGGAAGGTCTGTGTCATTAACCTTCCCTTGGTCTCCGAGCTTCTCTGCGCAGGAACTCCAGGTCCAAAGGACGCGCTCTGCTCCCAGTACTGCTTTCTTGGTGCTATGAGGTTCCCATGTGTCTCTGCTCACTTCTCTCTTTTATATCTCAAAAGAGATTGGCTTAAGACACTATCTAATCTTGCAGACTTCATCAGTATAACTGTTGCTAATCATAAGGAAATCACATCAGATTACAAAATGATATACAATCATACAATACTAGGAATCATGACCCAGCCAAGTTGACAGATATTTTTGGGGGACACAATTCAATCTATGACATCCTGTATGTCAACATTTCATCTAATGGTTTAAATATTCATCAGTGATCCCTGTCTGAATCAATCATTACACTGGGATTACAAATACTGATTTTCCAATTCCCTAATTTCTTCTCAATTTATCAGCTGACATTCTTTTGTGAAAATGTGCATTCCAACCAGATCCCAACTCTCTCTACTTTAATATCAAGAATTCCTTTTTTTAATTCAAAATACGTTACTACGTTTTTTAATTTGTTTGATGTGCAAATGCCCCAAGTCTGGCCAGTAGGAACTCCTATGTCCTTTTGAAATGTTGCCATCAGTCTTTGGGCACTTCCTGACTTTTTGGAACCACTAGATGCCCAGGCTGACCTTGTACTTTAGCTGTTTAAGACCATATTGTGATAACTAGTATCTGTGAACCTATATCAATAACTTTTTTGAGAATGAAGTAGTAGTTAAAGGAAAAGGAGTGATATACAGGAATTACAATTTATGAGTAACGTAAGTACTAAGGATTCTATATGGTCTGGTATGGGAGGAGGTCCCTTGTGGGGGCGGGGGTGAGTTACTGCACTAGGAGATGCCAACCCTAGTGATGCCTCTGCCTGTGGACACCTTGATTTTAGCTCAGTGAGTCTCCCGTTGGACTGCTGACCTCAGAACTGCAAGATAATACATTTGTGTCGTTTTAAGCTACAAAGTTTGTGATAATTTGTTACAGCAGTAATAGGAAACTAATACAAGAAAGTATACACAGAGAAGTCTCATTCCCAACCCCCACCCCAACTCCAATACCCACTGCTGTCGAGTCAATTCCGACTCATAGCGACCTTTTAGGACAGAGTAGAACTGCCGTATAAGATTTCCAAGGCTGTAAATATTTACGGAAGCAGACTGCCACATATTTCTCCTGAGGAGCAGCTGGTGGGCT